GCATGGATGGTTATGTATAACGTCTAAAGTTTCTAAAGAGTCTCTCAAAGTCCAGTCTACTTGGTATTGAAAATCCCATGTGTTATAGAACGGCGGGTCCACTATAAAGAAAACATTTTCCTTGTCTTTATATTTTTCATACAACTCTGTCCAATGACATCTCACAAACTCTATACCCTCAATATATTTTTCTATGTCCTCTTTGAAAACATTTGTATAGTTAAGATATAAAACTTTTGACATAAGTGTTTCAATGTCATGAACTCTTATAGAACCACTATATAATAGTCTAGCAGATATACTATCCCAGTCTATATATTCTGCTTTTTTCAAAACCTCTCTCACAATATTTTTGTTATCTAATGGTATACGTTCCATCTTACCTATAGGTATCTTTTCTTTTAACTCTTTCAATATATTGTTTGTGTCTGGAATATGTTTGAGACGGTCCATATAGTTGTCGAAGTCATTGCATATAATCTTTGAGTCTGGGAATATTGTATGGCACAAATGGGATATATAGAAACTTCCACCGAACAAATCTACAAATGTTAGACCATTCGGTAGTTTCTTAAGTTCTCTCAATATAATATCTTTACATCTACTCTTATTTCCAAAGAACGGTAACGGTGGTTTTGTAAAATTCATTTATATATAATAATAAAAATGTTTTTACCCGAAAAGTGACAGAAAAGTGACAAAACATGAAAACATATATAATTTGTGAAAAGCGACACATTATATAATGTTTTCGACCCAGAAGAAGGCTTCTCAAAGTATACTTCCTTGGAACGCCTGTAACTTTTCCTGTAGCGACGATAGACCCTTACTTGTCCGGACAAAGTTATACTAAACATCTTCAGGGCTAGAGGGCACGAAGTGCCTGGAAGCCCCACATACCTGACCTGAATATTATATAAAAAATCTCTTTAATATCTATATTTCATATTTTGATCGATTTTTAAGGTTTTTGCGAAAAGTATTCAATTATTTTTGCTATTTGGTCGGGTAAATGTCAGATTTGCGACATTTTCTGATATGATATTCAGATTCTACGTTGATAATAATGCTTATAGAACCCTCTTGCTATTGTGTCAAAATTGCGAAACCGATAGCAAAAATATCTCGCAATATCAAAATTGAGATATTGAGTGAATTATGCATTATAGAGATTAAAAATCTGATTTGTGAAAACATCTCATCAGTTTCTAGCTAATTCAAAAATCTTTACTATCTTATTCGATTAAAATGAAAAGGGAATAGTTTCATTATGCTTTAAATGACAGCCTTATAATATAATCATAGTTTTCGCTCAATATGCAGCATTTTTTTTTCGAAATCTATGGTCAATATCCTAAATACTGATTGCTTTGCATTCATATCTCTTACATTTTCTATACCCGCATCACTATTCATTGCTATTCCTATCTTTTTCATTTTTGTTTGTTTCTCATAATTTCTCAAAAAACATGATAACTTGATATTTGTAAATATCATACTTTATAACGTAAATAAGAACCTGACCTATTAAGAAAAGCAGTAATGAAAAGAAAATCTGAAATTCATAAAAATTACAAGTTTCTGATGACAATTAGCTTAATTAAACCAGGTACAAGATTATATAATTGTATTTTCTATCCAATTATCCATATAATATCTTATCCAGAAAAAAAAACTTGATCAATACCAAATGATTTTTTAACTAGTAAATAAAGTATTTTCTTTACACACACATTGTACATCATAGTTTTTTTTTGGTTTCGCAAAACATCCAAAAACAAATATGCTATAAAAGTGATAATTTTAGCAAAACGAAACCCTTATATAGAATTTTATATAAAAAATGCAGTTAAAATTTTCTGAGGGCAAAACTTTTTCGCGAATATTAGAATTTCCCAGTTTTAAAATTAAAAACTGTGCTAATGCATTGCATTAATCAATATTATAGCAACAATTTAATTAAAAATTTTCTGAGGGCAAAACTTTTCCGCGAATATTAGATTTTTGTAAGTTTTAATGTTAAAAATGAGACGATACCATGTGAGGTGAATTTTTCCCATACCACGATCGTCCTTTTGAACAGTATGCAGTGGCAAAGGTTGATATTCAGACCTGATCTTTTAGGGGCAGATGCGCTATATATGTGCGCATCTAAACGTGTAGCAATGAATGGAAAATATTTTTGGACCCAAGTTATTCACATTATAAATTTATCAAAAGTCAATATTTAGATCAAATATTCTTATGCGCATATTATATAGCCTTCATATAACAATATTATATATGTGACATATGAATATCTCACAACTTATAGTATGACATCTTATATAACTAATTCAAATATCGAAATATGAATATAAAAATTGTGTCACGATATATTATTGGTGAATTTATGAATGAGTAGAGTAGAGTGCCCCCAAATTTGGAAATTAAAAAAGTGACTTACCCAAATTTGGAAGTACCAAAATGGGTAATTTGAGTTTTTTTGATCAATATGAGCTCTTTTTCATTATTTATAGCGCCATCATATAGCCTATACATTCACTCAATACCCCTCTGACTCTTAGCCAAAAACAGATTTTTGCACATAGTATATAACTTATATCCTTTCTCATATTTTGGAATTTGGACTTAATATCTATCAGCGCATATAGTATAATGGCACACAAATATGGCTATAGTGCGTTTTATTAGAAAGCTTACAAGAAGTTGTAATTCAATAAACTATCTAATTCACATATTTGTTTTTGAGACATATAAAGATATGTAGATTAATATGTGATATGAGTGGGAATGTATGGTAATGTGATGAGTGGTAGGAAGTGAGAAGATAACAAAGATGATAAAGAATTTGTATCAAAAGTGGTGATTTTGGTGGGGGAGAGGTTCATGTTGTATGGCAAGAGGGTTCATTATGTTTGGATGAAAATATTAGACAGATAGTGAATATGGAGAGAAATAGTTTGTGATTGCGGCAGAAAGACCTGGAAGGGGGTCCTTTCTCAAGGTCAGGGCCCCCTTCTAGTCTTTCTGGTGCCGGAAGGAGCGCTTCTGACCGGTCTGGGCGCTCCTCCCGGCACCATCTTTGCATTTTGCAATTGTCGCAATTCGAAACAAAGTTCGCCCGAAAGACCGGGAAAGGGTCCTTTCTCAAGGTCAGGGCCCCTTCTCGGCTTTTTGGTAATCTGGAGTCAAATATCATTTATATAATTTTTTACTTATATTTGTCACTTTTTTAAACGTAAAATGGAGTGGGTCTTCCTATCTCATCATCAACCCACTCCCGGCCCTATTTGAGTTTATGAACAAACTCAAATAGGGCCGTTAAACATAAAATTATATTACAGTGGCCGCCTATCTAATAGAGATAGGCGGCCACATTTCAACATCCTCAGAAATGCGCTAAAATTCAAAATAATGGCAGCCACATATTTATATGTGGCTGCCATTCGATATTTACATTGTTTAAAACTTGTTTTTTCAGGTAACGTCGATGAATTTTGACGTTACCTGAAAAAACAAGTTTTAAACAATGTAAATCGCAAATTTACAAATACGATCACACAAAAGTATATTATCTTTTGTTTTTGAGTCTGGCCTTCGAATCATAAATATGACCAGACTCAAAAACAAAAGATAATATACTTTATCGTTCATTCTACGAAAGACCTTCAAGGAAAGGTCTGTTTTCCTTATCTTTTGAGTGGGAGTCTCAAAACTTTTTGAAACTTCCATTCAAAAGATATGGAAAGCAGACCTTTTCTTTATTGAAATACGAAAGTCCCCCTCAATAAATTACATTACGATACATATCTTAAAACTTTTGTTTTATAAGATATGCCGAATCTCAAAATACAGAAGTGCACATATAAAATATACGAACTTACGATATGCATGAGATGGATAAACCATACACATGCTTCTACTCCTTTGGTTTTGAAAATTAAATAAAATTTTTCTTATATACAAATTATTACGCCATTTTACTACTATCACTCATATATACACTAGTATATAAAGTGATCTATCATTATATCACTGAACTTTAGGTTTAATAATTTTAAATAAATTCTCAAAATCCTATCCTATTTCTATATTCTGCTTCAGCGCACATAGTATATAGTATACCAAATTCATATCCTTAATATTACATTCAAATTCCAAACTTGACCAAATTATATAATATAAAATATCTTACACTTTTGATATCTGACTAGAATAAGTATCAAATATTCATATATAGGAAACATACAATTGAATACTATAATTATTCCAAAAATTGTAAGAATATGAGATTATGCAATCTTATGCAACATCAAGTTGGATTCAATCTTGATATATGTTAATGCCTAGTGGTAGTACTGATATTTCACCATAGGCATTATAGGTCTATCTATAACAGAAAAAAAGTGCCAACTCGGGGCAGTGGAAATGATTTTCCCGAGTTGGCGCTCCTCAATTAGAATCCCTCTGGCGCACTCCAATCACTAGAACTTGGTTCTCCCCTTGTATATTCCCCCTCCCAGGTGGGAGATGGGTGAGGAAATTGAATGGTTTACATTGAAATTTAAATAGTTTACAAGCCCCCTCCCACTGGGAGATGGGAGCATGTGATCGGGAAAAGAATTCTCATCGAATATTTTAAAAAGTCGTTTTTAATGAACATTTAGACAGCATATTTAATACTTTTCATAATCCCTCATATAAAATTAGATGAAAGACGTCATAAACTATTCAAAAAAATCCAAAAATAATCAAAAAAAAAAAAATTTTTATGAAAAATTATATTTTTTACTATCGTCTTCTCCCCATTGGGAGCTACCAGTGGTTCGGGCGCCCCCAATGGCGCAAAAAAAGTAGCTCCCATCTTACCTTGTATAATTTACACCAAAAGTGAGATTCATTAAGCGTTTTTTTTTTTTTTTGAATTGGCGTGGAAATGGTATTGAGGCAGTGAACATTTACTGCTTTGAGGTAGTACGAATAGTTTTATATTTCACTCAATACCAAACTCTAGTATAATTTAATATAAAATATGTTATATTAGTAACCGGATATGAAGGTTGGAGAAAATCTGTTAAACCTTCAAGGCTTGTCCATGCACCATTACATACAGCATCGACAACTCTCTGTGTGTAATTAACCATATCTGTGTAATTCGTTGGTTGAGGCCAGCCACTATTAAAATGTCTGCCTGAATGAATTACATCAATCATAAACACATGAAGGTGTGTGCATAACTGCATATTTGGTAAATCAATCATATCAGAAAATAACAATACCATTCCTGTTTTTTCATGCATGAATATTCCATTATAAACATTAGACTCTTGAATTGAAACAAGAACTTTCAAAGACATCCAATATTTAACGATTTCCATAATAGGAATATCACAAAATTTATCATCTCTAATCCATCTGGCTCCTTGTTCGAGCTTAGTTCTTATATTGAGCACCCTCACAAGCTCGTCTGCATTATCTATAAATCTATTAGATCCAACAATTCTATTGGCTACAACATATCTCTCTGGTTTGATCCTCTTATATTCTTCTTTTTCATATACATCGCTCTGATACGCTGGAGGCCACCGCTTGTCAATCCATGAGATTGTTCTAATGTATTAATAATCCATATCTTTTTAGCGAAAACTTGATCTGTAGGGTTCGTATAGAGATAATTTATTTTAAGGCCTAAATAATGAGCTATATCAAGTGTAATTTCAGCAAAATAATTTGGATTAAGAACTAATATTCCTTTGTCCTTAATTTCTTGTGGAACAAACATCATAGCACACAAGAAATCATGAATGTTATGGCCATACTGCCGCCAAAAGTGAACACAATATACTAATTCGTCAACTACCTTGCAGGTTTCTTGGATTGGAAAAATATGATTATTAGTCTCATAAGAATGTAAACGAATAACAGTATCATTTTTTATAAGCATGTTTCTTTGACAAAAAACATTTTCCATTAGTGTTATGTGAACGATAGATTGTGTCGTAAAGTTTACAGGAATGAATTGTTTATATAAAAAAGGCATTTTTGTGATTTTTGTAAAATTTAAGCTGCTATCTGGCTCACGTGTCACGATTGTATACGTTTGAAGGTATGGAAACTTATACCACCATTCCATTCCGGTAATGTTTGGCTGATAAGGAAAACAAAATAGGCCATCTAAATTTGTATCAGGGCATTTCATTGTTATTATATAGAGATATAATAACAGACACATCAGTAGAATATTTGCGCGGGAGAGATAATGATCGAATGCTTTTAAAAAATCTATCATGATATCTGTTTCCGGCCAAAATGAAAATTTTCATGACCAAAATGAAAAAAAAATTGAAAGAACTTTGAGAAACTGTATTTAATGACATATAAAATTAGTCAAATTTACATTAAGTTTTCAATTGAATTGTGGTCTCAAAATAATTTTGAGTCATAATGTAAATTCGAGACATTCAAAATTATTGAGGTAAAATATTTGTATAGATGTAGATAAATACATTTCCGAACTTTCTCATTCTTTATCAAACTTTTACATACAATTCAGAAGTTTACTATCATCTGTTATGAAAACAAATACTGCGTATAATATGGCATAATTAAGAAATATTGTTTTAAAACTTAAAAAAAATCAGAGAACAAAAATTTATTAAAAAATTTAGCTTAAATATCAATCTACTTATAATTTTAGTATCTAACCAAATTGAATGTTTCTCTCCTTTCAACTTTCATGTTTTCAATGAGCTACCTCAAAAATTGAATTATATTCAATTTAAAAGAGGTTTAAAATTGAAAATACTACAAGAAGTGTGCCTTCACCATTTCTAGCCTGAGGTATAGATAGAATAGATCATAAGAAGCTTAACTTGAGACTTAGGAGAAAAACTGCGCAAATTTCAAAGATGAGAGAATCAATTAAAATTGAATACTTTTTCATTGAATTTTTTTAATTCAAAAACAAACATTCATCATCGTAAATATTTATTTTATACTTATTTTATAGTGCATTTCCTTATAAGTTCTCAAGTTTTTCAAAAAGAAATTTATTAAAAATATTGAGAATCAGATAACAACAACCTCTGGTTCGCTCTTTATCTAGCCTTTATCACTCAATTCAGGTCAGGTATGAGGGGCTTCCAGGGGCTGCGCCCCTTCTAGCCCTGAAGATGTTTAGTATAACTTTGTCCGGACAAGTAAGGGTCTATCGTCGCTACAGGAAAAGTTACAGGCGTTCCAAGGAAGTATACTTTGAGAAGCCTTCTTCTGGGTCGAAAACATTATATAATGTGTCGCTTTTCACAAATTATATATGTTTTCATGTTTTGTCACTTTTCTGTCACTTTTCGGGTAAAAACATTTTTATTATTATATATAAATGAATTTTACAAAACCACCGTTACCGTTCTTTGGAAATAAGAGTAGATGTAAAGATATTATATTGAGAGAACTTAAGAAACTACCGAATGGTCTAACATTTGTAGATTTGTTCGGTGGAAGTTTCTATATATCCCATTTGTGCCATACAATATTCCCAGACTCAAAGATTATATGCAATGACTTCGACAACTATATGGACCGTCTCAAACATATTCCAGACACAAACAATATATTGAAAGAGTTAAAAGAAAAGATACCTATAGGTAAGATGGAACGTATACCATTAGATAACAAAAATATTGTGAGAGAGGTTTTGAAAAAAGCAGAATATATAGACTGGGATAGTATATCTGCTAGACTATTATATAGTGGTTCTATAAGAGTTCATGACATTGAAACACTTATGTCAAAAGTTTTATATCTTAACTATACAAATGTTTTCAAAGAGGACATAGAAAAATATATTGAGGGTATAGAGTTTGTGAGATGTCATTGGACAGAGTTGTATGAAAAATATAAAGACAAGGAAAATGTTTTCTTTATAGTGGACCCGCCGTTCTATAACACATGGGATTTTCAATACCAAGTAGACTGGACTTTGAGAGACTCTTTAGAAACTTTAGACGTTATACATAACCATCCATGCTTTTACTTTACATCCGATAAAAGTGGTTTAGAAACCGTTATGAGATGGTTAGAGGACATACATGACTATGAGTTTAGATATGACAAGATAGAATATGAGAGAGGTCCTATAAACCGGAGAAAGTGTCATAACAAAGAAATTTTACTAGTAAGTAAATGTGGTTTGAAATAGGACTACTTGTTTTAGGTTTTTTCCATTGTGTCATTTATTTATTTGACGTGGCAGAAAAGTACAGAGAATATGAAGATGAACCAATGCCTGCAAATGTTCAGCATATGTACTCGTAAGAGATATTTTTATCTAATATTAAATGGACGCACAGAACTTAGCAAATGCACAGCAACCTGGACAACCAAACCCAGAGAATATTCCAAATGAAGTTAGAATACAAACTGCAATGGCAAACTATGGTCAAGTGCCAACAGATGTACAAATGCAAACTGCCATGTCAAATGACGCTGCGTTAGGTTTGCCACCATGGTATGCAAATATGAGATGGAAAGAGTTTTATACAAACCCTGAAGTGGGATATAAACAACTTTATGCAGATGACGCGAACACAGGAGTTGACCCAGAATATGTTTTCTACCAGAGGAGAAACAGAATGTATGAGCTCCAGTTAAAGAATGCTATGGAACTCAACAGGAAACGTAAGAGACTAGGCGGACATTAGATTTTTACATATAGTAAATGGGTTTCTTCAGTAGTATTGGAAACTTCTTTCGAAATGTTGGAAGAGGTATATGGAATGGAATAAAAACCGTAGGAAGAGGAATTTGGAACGGAGTCAAAAATATTGGTAAAAGAGTAGGTCAGTTCGTTGGTATTATACCTAAAGACCCTGAACCAGAAGAGCAAGCCCCTGTTATACAACAGCCTGAACCTGCACCACAGTCTAGTTGACAACCAAATCCAACACCTCAACCGTATTAAAAAATTATATTTTTACCGTTCGATAGTAGTTGTATATGAAACTAAGTTCTAAGTAAAACGCATGGTATAATGGAATTATTCTCTTTCTTCCATCTGTTGTAAACCATACTTGAAAGTCTGAAATACTTCCACTTGGTGGTTCATATAGCTTTGTAGGTTTTTCGTAAAAGTCATTTGCCAAGCATAAAAAGAGTTTTGTGCACCAGAAAATGAAGCATGAACAATAATAGCAGCTGGGTCGAAAACATCTTTAAATAAATATGGTTCATCTCTTGCATATCGACTGTAGATATTTGCTAAAGGAAGTTCGACTTTCTGATTTAACATTCTTTGCAAATAATACCATGACATTGCAGTGAATTCTGTATATATTTGTTCGTCTTTCTTTGGATTGTCTTCGTAGATTTGAAATGACACTTGTGAATTTTGTTTGTCATATACAATTCTCACATAAAGTGTGCTCTCGGTATTTGCATATTCATCAGCATATTTTGCATAACATGAATTTATTTTATCTTCTATATTTTTTAACGCAGTCTGTAGAGAAGATGAAAGGTCAACTTGTATTAGCTCAATTTCTTCCCACATTTTTCGTTTCCCTTCAGATATATAATCTATATGAAACCTTACAATAAATGGAAAACTTTTATCTTCTACAGACACAAACTTCATTCTACGAAAGCCAATAGCTTTTGTGACAGATGGGTCTCTTAACCATCTTAACGGGTAGTCAAAACGATAGCCTTCATGCTTTACGGTCTCTGTCTCAAACTTTTGACCGACATTCGTAAAAAGTTCATCTAATGGTTTAGTTGTAGCAACTCTTGAATTTTCTTTTTCTATTGAAAGCATATTTTATCTAGAATAAAAATGTCAAATGAAACAGCGTCTATGAGAGAAATACAACACAACCGACAACTCATTATACAAGCTCTAAATAAGAACACAACAAACTTTTCAAACTATTCTAAGATATCTGAGTCATTGAAAGAAGGAAACTTAAAACTGACATTAAACCCAATGACAGATGAGTTTCTATTTCAAGACAATAAGAACCATACTGTCTGTATAAATCCAACAAAAGGAACTTTAAACGAGAAACCTATAAATGAACTTCTTTTGAAAGCAGATGTTGACAACAAAGCAGACAAAACATATGTAGACGATGCAATAGCAAAAGAAGAAGAAAGAGCTGACAAAGCTTATGCAACAAAAGAACATACTCATCCTGAACTAGCAGACAAAACATATGTTGACAATAAAATGTCAAGTGAAGTGACAAGAGCTGAAAACGAATATTCTAAAAAGACTCATATACATTCTATATCTGAAATAACAGACTTACAAGAAACCTTAAACAGTAAAAGTGCCGTTGGACATACACATTCTATATCTGAAATAACAGACTTAAACGTT